CTCAGGAAATGCAAAGAAACGAAAGAAGATTCTACAACTTTCTCAAAATATTGTAGATGTCTTATTAAATATTAACTTTATTAACTTATTTGGTTGTTAATTATAATAGTATATTTCGACTTGTAATTTTTTTGTTTATCAATGTAACATGGAATCTTACGTTTTTCGAGTAATTAAAGTGTAAATTTTAATAAATAGCTCAAAATTGTACATAATGATTAGAAAAAAATTTTCGGATTCTAGTTCGTTTCTTTGCATTTCCTGAGAAAACTTACCATAGTAATGTATATATTTTTTTACACCATCAGAAAGTAGAGATTTCAACGAAGAAAAAGCCCACCGACGTTTTTAAAAAAGCAGATATTTTGACGTGAGAATTTTCGATTGAAAATTAGGGTGCTTTTTCGATATTAAGTAAAAATAAGGTGAAAAAATAAATATTTCAAATCAAAAAAATTACAGCGTGTTTGGGACATAAATAGGTAAGTTTTCACCAAATTTCGTGAAAAAAAAATTTTTTTGTAAAAGATAAAAATAAAAAACCAAAAACTTGGTTATTTGAATTTTTCACATAAATTTTGAGGTTATGTGAAAAAAGTGTAAATACAAAAGTTGTAGATCTTTTTATTACCTACAACTTTGCCATTTAACTTTTTTCCATAAGACTTGTAGTTTTTCTGGAAATCAAGGGACGCCGTTTTTTACCCTTAAAAACTCACCCCCTACCCCTTCCCGACCTCAGATCGCACGTAAATTATTTTTCCTTTCATTTCTGTTATATTCTCTTTCTTTTCCAATGGGTTTCATCCTACTATAATTTTTTTTGGTTTCAAAAATTATCGACCCTGGTCTATTGTCGTATATTCTTTTCTTAAAACTGACTAAGAATCGTCACTAAGAACTAAAACATACTGTACCTAAGTTAAAGTCTATATAAACAGAAAAAATACTAATAACATGTTTTAATCGACCTAATTCCTATAAGAAATGATTTTAAGCACATTTTCAGTGAATTACAAAAAAATAGTTTATTTATTTAGTATTTAGTTTATTTAACATTTTTATTCTAATTGAGCTGAAAAAAAAAAAGAAAATTAGAGCTGAAATACTAAAAAATAAGTTTCAATTTGTTGCCGGAGGTGATATTCGTACTCAGTCTCCGCCATTTTGGTTCTTATTTGTCCAGACATGGGAACAGTAACTATTCCCATACACTTAATATGTTACACCCAGAGATCTCTAATATCTGGTTACACGACAAAATATTTTGCTTTAAGTATGGAGAACCAAAATGGCTACTACTGTAGGTACCTTTTTTTATAGACCTTTGCTAGACACTTCTTTATATACGTCACTTAAGAGGGTATGACGTAATCATGGCATATATCGGCGTTATATACGTTTTTCTAATAACTACCACATTCCCAGAGCTGTCGCAGCTTTAAACGTATTCATATAATTCCTTTTATTGTGCAAAACAAAAGCATTTACAAAACGAAGCTATGGGATACTAAATCTATGGTCTGTATACTTACTTGTACATCTTCTTGATGCCCCGCGACACCTTGTAGTCGCCCACGGATTTGTCAGGGTGGACCTTGGGAAAAGTTATCTGCAGCTTTTTCATGCTGCAGTCTTTGCTGTCCTTATTCTCTGAAGCCATTGCGCCCTATTCTAATTTTAGATAAAAAAAAATAATGGGGAAAGACGGAATGGCGCCACAAAAAAAAATTACGCCTTCATAAGTGACAGTAGTCAAAATATTTTGTTTTAAAATTGTGACAGCCTTCAACAAACGACGCGAGAGATGTTTGTCGGTAATTGTTTCTCAGTTCAAACACTTGTAGCGCTGCATCACACATAAACTATGTTCCATGATTTAAAATGTTAGACTCCGCCATCTATGGTCGAAATGTCCTACCAACACCCAAGTAACGTGTAAAAATTGTAAATTCAGATGCAGAAAAACCACAAATATATTTTTTTACGAATCATTTTGCAAAGGTTTTAAGATGTTAAGGTGATCTTGTTGCTACTATTTACACATATATGATCGAATTTGTCATATTAATATAAATTTAGTCCTGATAACATTTCTTTAAATTAAAAACCATCTTGTCATCAATATTTATCGACTTGTAAGGTAAAAGATATTCGCAATACATCTGCTTAATTCAAGAAATATGAGTAATGGTGAATAACAATCTATAATTTATGCTAATTGGAATAGTTACAATTTATTTATGCATTTTCTTCAAACTACTGGTAATTTATTGTACGCATAATAAATACCCAACACCTCAAAAATATTAATAGATCATTCCACGCGGTTATTTGAATTAACAAGGCACTTATAGTCCACGTGCGAAGCTTATCTGTATAATATAGTAATATAATTTAACGATATTCCTGAAATAGGTAATGTTTTGTTTAACAGAATGTCTAATTTCCATTCCTAACAACCCGCTTAAAGTCAGTACTTACAAACTAGCATTTTCTAAGTGTAAGACTGTGGAAATCATGTTATATATAATAGTGACATAAAGATGCATCTTTCTGTTTTTTTTTATAGTTCAGAGCTGTTGTGGCCTAATCTTCGCATCATTCATTTTGTTATGCAGAACAGATATTTATGAATTTATTTTTTTAATTGGCGAAAAACGATCTGTCTAACAAAATAAAGTTAGTTTGAAACTCAAATTACTTTTTGGTGGAAAGAAATTTGTACAAGCGGCATCGCTAATTACAAATTTCTCTCCACCAAAAAGTTATTAGAGTTTCAAACTAACCCCATTTTATAGAAAATCTGCGAGAGAATTGTGGAAAGTCTGTTATTTGTGCATTAATTCATATTTAGAAAACTGTGTAATAAAATCTATAAAAATGTATTGCTGGTTGCCTATTTGCTATAGAGCCCTCTTATCGTAATAAAATTACTTTGTCATCTATACCAAAGTAGTCAAACTTTAAATGAATAAATAGAAAAATCCGGCGCGTCTGCTTTTATTTACCGTACAAAAAGATCGTTGTGAGGGTTACTAAAACGATCGAGATTTGACAAAGATGAGCGAGAGAGTGAATTCGAAATAAAAAGAACGAGATCTCGCTCGATTGAGCGAGCTGTGGCAAGGCTGTTATTGACACAAAACCATAAAACGACCAATAATAGAATATTAAGTGCCAAGACGGACCATGTTCCGCCATCTCTTTTTGACATAAGAACTAAATCAGTAAAATTTAAATTGCTCAGACATAAACATGATACCACCCCCGGGGTTCACACAGACGAGCCGGCGAAGCAAGAAGAGCGCCAGAAGAAAGGGCCCTAGCCGGCGGGGCCCAGCCAGGACAAAAGGAGGTCCCACAAAGCGCCTACACCGGCCGCATTTGCGGTCGGGGTAGACGACGGATGGGGCCCACCTACGAAGGCTGTCCAGGCCTACACGAGATGAGGCAGGATAAAGAGGGATAATCCCCCTCGATCCCAAATCATTGACGCCAATTTCTAGCCATGGAATAATGGAGCAAAATTGCTCAGAAGTCCTTTTTACAAAAATTATTTGTTTTTGTTTCTACTATTGTCTTCTACAAATTACAAATTGATTAATATACCTATTGGTAAATAATAAATACATAACTGTAAAGACAATAAATAAAAATTTAATAAAAGTTGATCGATTCTACAATTTACGTAATATTTATTGAACACCAAAAGCACATCAAATCATTACATCATTTATTTGAATTTATATAATATACAAAAAAAAATGTAAGACATATCATAATGTTTACAAGAAATGCTGATTTCAAACAGCTCTAGTATTGTATTTACTTTTACCTTATTAAAAATCTCACTTCTTAGATTATCACTAAATATCGGCATTTAAATTAATCAAAAGTAGCTATATACACTTTCCACATAACAATTATATGTATGACAAACTTCCTTAGTGTTAAAAACGAAATGCAAATGCAATTGAAAATAGGTACATTCAATATTTCTATAGTTTCTGACTCATTTCTGTCTAAATCGAAAGCCTGGTACATACAAATGTAACCTTCCAGTTTTTCGTTTTGGCATATGTCCTTGTTATCGGTTGGTTAATAGCCAATAAGAAAAAAGAAAATATGCATCTATGTCAATATCTTTGAAGGTGATGGTATTCCTGTAATATTGGCAAACCTTCTATCTTATACCCTGCCATCTATCGTTGACATACTTAATCAAATTCATAGTAATTTAATGAATAGCTTTGTTCCTAGTGCATTAAAATAAGTTTTTAACAGTCACAGGCAATTGCATTTGATTCAAAACAATGAATTTTTAATCTTATGCAAGCATCGTATCGGAATGCACATGCGTCCGACTTGGAAACTGCTTTGGACTTCTTTAGGAACAAACCTGTTTTAAAGTTCAAATTCCGCGCGAATTTGTGTAGTTCGTAGAAGAAGAAGATCAAGATGAGGCTTTGGAATCGGGTGTCTTGGGGTGTTCAATGTCATAGGTTTAGAGGTTAAGTCACAAATGCTACAAGAAGCGCTGTTTAAACTTTTATGGAGTAAAGTCGTTTCTAAAGAAAATATTGTGTGTAGTTCCTGAAACGACCTCCCAAGTAAATTTTTTACATCTTAATATTTTCTTTTCTAAAATTTATACACCTGAATATGAATACGAATTAAATTCGATACGAATACGTTCATATGAACTTTTTGTTAAAAAAAGTCCTTTGTCGACTATTAAAATTATTGCGTTTAAGAAGGGAACGCCTCCTATAGTAAAAATTTACTCATCCTTTATCGCGTTATTTCGATAAATATGTCGGCGATAAGCAAATATATCTATGTATTAAGTATATATAGACGAGATAATTTTTCCAATAATCCCTATTTGCACTAAAAAATTATGCCACATCAAAAATATTAATAAAAGGCTTCACTTTATTTTATTTAACGTAAAGTCCAGATTTTAAGGACAAAATAAAAAGAACTTCTCTATAAAAAAAATATATTAAACCCGTACAAATATGTTATAATATTTCAAAGAATACGAAACAAATAACTTTATCGTTCAACCACGTACATCTTTCTCTTAAACGTTAAAATGTTCTTATAAAAAGCCGGTATGTCCAAGTGGTCAATCGTTGTGTAAAACTGGCAGGCATTTGTGATTTTAAACGCTCGCCAGACGTGTTTTCTAGCTGCGTTCCTAGCCAATTCCATCAAAGAAGGCACTCTCGGCAATCCACCCAAAATAGCGGTCATATCTTCATCGTCGGTATACTTAATGGTTAGCGCATCCATTAATCGAGGACAAATAGAATATTCCAACAACTGTACGAAGTTCTCCTTGGGAATATCGTTTATTCCATCGACGGCACTCTCTAAATCGTAGTCGATATCAAAAATTAACCTAGTAAGGACCATGAAAGGCCGCCAACTCTGGATAAAGTCGTTATCCATATGCAACAGTATTCTAAACAGTTCGCAGTACCCGTAATGCGAGAGAATCGCATGAATATCGGAGGTAGTCGCGCGAAACCCGTATTCTAACAGGCGACACGTAAGACGCGTCAGCTGCTCGAGCTCAAATTTCTTCTTAGCAAATTCGTCGACGAACAACAAATAGTTTTTACCTTTGGAAAAATACTCTACGGCGGGTTCGAAGTTATTACTCTCGATTATAACTTGGAGAAACCTCGGCACCGCCCTGCGCCTACGGAAAAGATCGAATAAATCGACGGTATTCTTAGCGTGGTTATAACGTAGCCTCTCCCATACCATTTTAAAAGTAAACGAATTCACAGCCCTACGTGAACAAACCGTAAATGCACAGGCCTCGTGAGTGACTTCGGGATTATCACCGTAATTAACGTCGGCACCTCGCTTTATTATTTCTTTAGCAAACGGCGAATTAGTGTGCAAGGCTAAGCTCAAAGTCGAAAAATACGCTGGGTCGCTCGTCTCATTGAAGTTAACCACGTAGTCCAACAGGGCCTCCTGGGCGGGGACGTTGCCACAGAGGAGAGCCGTCATGAAAGGAGTAAAGCCCCGTCTGTCACGAACGTTGGCATCGGCGTTGTAATACAGCAGCATGTGCACTATCCCCAAGCATTCGTCTTTGCGTTCCACCGCTTTGTCCAACAACGTGTTGCGAGACTTTCCCACGGCATCGATTTGGGCGCCGCGTTGTATGAGAAGGTGGCAGATGTCGGGATGGTACACGGACATGTCCAGAGGGGAGTTGTTTCTGTAGTGACGGAAATTTACATTGGATCCGGCTCGAATCAGTCTCTCAACCAGCTCGATACGGCCCAAGGCTATCGCCATGTAAAGGGGCGTTCTACCTATACGGCAACTAACGTCCACATCTACGTCTTCTCTCGTCAGCAAATATTCTAATATTTCCACACTGGAAACGTACACCTGATGTTGAAAATGGAAACTTTGTTTTGAAAACGACTTACTTGTTTTTTAAAACCGCCACGTGTAAAGGGGAGAATCTGTAAAGATCTCCTGTTTTATTTACACTTTCGCCTCGTTCAATGCAACGCTGTACGTTTTGAAGGTCTCCCTCGAAGACTGCTCTGTAAATCCGTGATACCCGTGTATCTAGACGGTCATTATAGAATTGGGCGAAATCCTACAACATTAAATAAACTACTGTAAAATATCACACGGCGTACTAATTCGACACATAAAAAATAGACAGACCGCACTTACCCGAAACCGGAGGTATTCCTCATCGCTCGAAGTCCTACTAGAAATCAACTCGAAGAGGGGCAGGAGACCGGTGGTGTTAGTAAAGGTGCCACAAAACATACTTAACCTAAGATCTACTAAACTACTAAGTACTGTTTGACTGTTTGTACTTTCTAATGTATTTTATTGTTTTGTGGTGTGTAGGTTAAGTCATTACTTCGTTTGTAGAGAAAACAAATGAAATAATAATAAACGTACAAAGTCTGCCAATATGATAAAAAAATATATTTATATATTTTTCATTACATACAAAACCAGTTAGTTGTAAATGTTGGCATATCTTTTGTTTTTTATATATTTAATAAATTCAACTAAATATGATAATATCTGCATATCTATTGTCCAATAAAGTACCTACCTACGTTCCGATGAACAATCTACCTTGTAGATTGTTCATCGTAACGTTCGTTTATGACTTTTATGAGCTATCAAGCAGGTAGCCCACTAAACATTTTTCAGTTTCTGACATGTTCCAGAAACGTTCCATTTTTCTTGAAACGTTTCATAAAAAATCCATGCAACGTTCTGGTAACCCAATAGAAACCGAAGATGTCCTCCCCAAAATACGTTTCCAATGAAACGTTTCAAAAAATTGGTTTCAGTAACATCCTTTTGATGTTCCATTTATGCACTCGATATTTTTGTTTTACGTTTCATATACAGAGTGACCCATTTGAAAGCGGGCCACCCACATAACATTTTTATTTATGGAGCGATTTTGACGAAATTTTTTTTGAAATGTAGAGGGGGGAAAAGTGTATTTTGGGGCCATGCCCCGTCCAGTTCTTTTTTAAACTAAGGCCTACTAGATCACATTCAGAGGCTGAAAAATCCAGAATCCATATTAGCGATTTTTTTAGAAAAAATCTACGTACGCCACTGGATTCGGCGTCCCCTGAAATGGATCTGTACCAAATTTCATGAAAAAATATTCAACATTAACGATTCTGCAGCTAAATTTCTGTCAAATTGTTTATTATGCATAAAGAAACTTTTTATCTAGTAACCCATGCGATAATAAATCAATCACAACAAATATTTAATAACACGTTTAATAGACATCATTATACCAAAATACAATGAAACAGACATAAAAATGAGCGATAAATTAACATAAAATTTACAAAAAATACAATAAAATAAAATTAACACACATGGATTAAATTAAATTCTGGAATTTTCAACTAAATCTTCATTTAATTGAATGCATTTATTGTATTGTTTTTGAATGTGTGCCATAACATTAGACAATTGATGTGTTGTAATTTCAGCGCATGCCTATCTTCTTCTTTCGCGCAGTTCTTCTGCATTCATTGGACGAGTGTAGTAAACTTTTTCTTTAATGAACCCCCATAAAAAAAATCTAGGAGAGGCAACATTTACAAAAATATTCATTCAATTAAATGGAGATTTAGTTGAAAATTCCAGAATTTAATTTAATTCATGTGTGTTAATTTTATTTTATTGTATTTTTTGTAAATTTTATGTTAATTTCTCGTTCATTTTTCTGTCTGTTTCATTGTATTTTGGTATAATGATGTCTATTAAACGTGTTATTAAATATTTGTTGTGATTGATTTATTATCGCATGGGTTACTAGATAAAAAGTTTCTTTATGCATAATAAACAATTTGACAGCAATTTAGCCGCAGAATCGTTAATGTTGAATATTTTTTCATGAAATTTGGTACAGATCCATTTCAGGGGACGCCGAATCCAGTGGCGTACGCAGATTTTTTCTAAAAAAATCGCTAATATGGATTCTGGATTTTTCAGCCTCTGAATGTGATCTAGTAGGCCTTAGTTTAAAAAAGAACTGGACGGCGCTTAGCCCCAAAATACACTTTTCTCCCCTCTACATTTCAAAAAAAATTTCGTCAGAATCGCTCCATAAATAAAAATGTTATGAAGGTGGCCCGCTTTCAAATGGGTCACTCTGTATATATTTTCAGAAATGTTTGAGTAAAATAATACATTTACATATAAATTTTTTCAAGGTATTGGGCGGAATTATAAAATTTAAAGTCTGTTGCAAAGAGCTTTCAGAAGAAATATTACTCAACCCCCTATGCCATTTAAATATTTTGGGGCGATGCTTACCCTTGCTTGGGGGTGAAAGTGGCGGAGCCAAAAATACCAGCAAAGAATGTCCCCCTTTAATCTAAAATCGACGGGTCTGAGCGTTTTTCTACAATCTTCATGCAGTTCCTGAAATCCCGCGCTAGCTTAAGGTACACCTTAGCAAAGCGCATCCCAGGCTGCATAGCCGCACCACCCTACCCAACCATAAACATGACACCACCCCCGGGGTTTACACAAACGAGCCGGCGAAGCAAGAAGAGCGCCAGAAGAAAGGGCCCTAGCCGGCGGGGCCCAGCCAGGACAAAAGGAGGTCCCACAAGGCGCCTACACCGGCCGCATTTGCGGTCGGGGTAGACGACGGATGGGGCCCACCTACGAAGGCTGTCCAGGCCTACACGAGATGAGGCAGGATAAAGAGGGATAATCCCCCTCGATCCCAAATCATTGAGGCCAATTTCTAGCCATA